TTCTATTGTAAATGAGATTATTTTCTTAATGTTTTTAGATACTTCATTGTTAGTGTATAAAAACATACAACTGATTTTTGTATGTTGATTTTGTATCTTGCACCTTTTTTTTTTTGAGACAGAGTCTTGCTTTTGTTGCCTGGGCTAGAGTGAGCGCCATGGCATCAGCCTAGCTCACAGCAACCTCAAACTCCTGAGCTCAAGCTATCCTCCGACCTCGGCCTCCCAGAGTGCTAGGATTACAGGCATGAGCCACCGCGCCCGGCCCTTGCAACTTTACTTAATTAGTTTATTAGTTCTAATACTTGTTCTAAATTTTTTTTCTAGCTCCTGTGAAGATATTTCTGTGCATGGATAGCTACTTAAATTGATGTTTTTGTATTAGGAAAAGTACTGAGAACTCTTATTCTGCCATTTTGCTAAAGTTCTCTTTATATTATTTCTTACACCTGTCTGTAAACCTATTTTATCAAAAATTAAAGTTTAATAATAAATGAATTTAAAATTGAGACTTTTTCCAGAAAAATAAAGTCAAAAGTATTAATTGCTAGCACACTGGCAGTGCAATAAGTGTTATAATAATGCCTCAAGACACTGTAAAATAATACCAGATTGAAAGCTGTGTCTACATAAAAGGAATAAAGGGTACCAGAAATGGTAACTAGAGGGATAAATATAAAGCCATTTTAATACAATTTAATCTCTTTTAAAAATAATGACCTACTCAGACCAAACAATAATAACATTGCATTGTGAAGCTTTTAACTGATGTATAAGTAGAGTATATGACAACAAGCATACTACTGATTTTTATTAAACATTTAATGAAATAAATAATGCCAATTCCACAAAATTGAAGGGCTTGGAACACTCACCATCTCAGTTTATGAGGACAGTATTATTTTGATACCAAAAGTACACAAAAACATTGCAATAAATAAAATCTATAAACCAATATTTCTTAAGAACATATATACAAAAACAATAAGTGTTTAACATATCCAATTCAACAATACATAAAAAGGTAATACATGAAGGCCACTGGGGTTTATTCTGGGAATGCAGATAGGTTTAACATTGAAACCAAACATTGTAACTCACCATATTAACAGACTTAAAAGGAAAAACTATACAACCATCTCGGTAGATGAATAAAAATCACTGGACGATACCCAGCACCTGTTCCTGATAAAAACTCACAACAAATTAGGAATAGGAGGAGACTTCATCAACCTGATAAAGGACATCTACGAAAATTCCACAGCTAGCATCATACTAACCTAAGCCTACACCATGAGAACCTAAATACTTTCCCGTAAAATCAAGAACAAGGCAAAGATGGGAGATACTGGTTTGGAGGAGATTGTTGTGGTCACCTTTGAAAAATACAACCTGATCCAATGTTTTAGACTTTGGTAAATTTTTGAGATAGAATGATCAAAGTTCAAGGACTTCTGGTCAAAGTTTGGGGAATTCTTATCTCAAAGAAAATTTCTTTTGATTGAAGAGTGGTAAACTGGTTCTGGAACATTTGACTCCAAAGCTTATACGTTCCACATTTCTGCAACATTCCTGGGCAAATGTTACCTCATCATAGCTTCTCTACAGTCTGTGCTCTCCTGGTTTTAGTGTTCAAACATTTACTCTAATTTACATGGCAGAGCTGTTAGTAATAATTTAAATAGGAGGTGGATGTAAACTTGCCAATAAAAACCCTAAGTAACAGAATAGTTTTAAAGAAATGCTATTTTATTAAATTCTATTACAGTGAGGGGAGACACAATCATATGTTTTACATATCTTTACATTATTTTAAAAATAGCCTGAAATTCATTATTTGAATGCAACTGCTACTGTGGAAGTCCTTCCTTCTCTGAGGGCATTTAGTTCACTTGATTGCATGCATCATAGTTCTCTTGTACACTCCACCTTTAAGAGTACTGGTGAACCTCTGCCTCAGAAACTCCATGCCATAGGATAACCAACAGTAAGAATACTTAGTCATTCTTGTAGCATGTCCTTCCCTGCAAATTATCATGTCCAAACAACACTTTTATGTCCATATTCATCATAAGGAAAATATCAGTTCTTGCACTGTTTGCATTATAGGTGAGCTGGGAAAATAATAACTATACGTAGTTGTCCTCCTTTGGTAGAGTTTTTTCATTTAAATTAATACTAATGAACTCTCCAGTCCCTTTTCCCTTCAAATTTCAAGTAAAACTGTAATGCATATACATACCAAATCTCATAAATCTGAAAATTAAGCCCAAAGATAGAAATATGCCAAAGAAGAAAACAAAAAGGATAAGCAATTTCTCTTTCCCCTACTAGACATAAAATAAATATTCCTACTTGATAAGTTTATTGTGAAGAAAGTGTATGTGTCTTGTTTTATTTCCAGATCCTGAATACTGGACTTAATAAATGTTTTACTGAGCTAAATATTTTACTGAGTTTTTTTTTTCTTGGAACACTTGAGAGTTATAAGGGGCCTTTGCTCTTAAAGTTCTCACAATCTAGTTATGCACATGAAACATTTGATAACGATATAAGACAGGGTAACAATTAGAGCCACTATGAAGGCCTGTGATAAATGAGCCAATGTGATGGATAATCCACACTGCCCAAGAAGCAGCTACGAAGATGGTGGAGTAGAATTTCAGAGAGTGAATGATTCTCACTGGATAGACAGATATAAAAGTATTAAGGCCAAAGTTGAGAAGAGGAAAAATATGACTGGAATTGCATAGCCACAATCTTCTTCTGCAATTTATCCTTTAATTTCAGAAGGCAGCCATTTGACAAGATTGAGGAATGGTGTAGGACAAGACCATAGCTTGTTTCAGCACTCCCTCCCATTTTATATTTGACTCTCCATGTATTCTACCTGTACTTGAAGTCCGCTTTGATGGGAACGTAGAGTTTGTCAGGGTTACTCCTGGCATTCCTACAGATATAGCAGTAACTCCAAGATATTAGAACAAGGGAGAATAGCTTTGATTTCTGGATGAATGCTGCATTTTCACTGCATTTCTGTCATTCTGCCCCCTTTTTTTTCAATGTATTTTTCCATCCCTGAAAGGCTGGGTTCAGATTCTGTACTACTGAAGAGTAGGCACTATTCAAACGTCAGGGAACCCTTATCTCAAGGAAAGCCTCCCTTGATTAAAAGCCTAGAAGGATTTGGAGGCCTCTAATATAATTGGGTAAACAATGGGGGTGGATTCGATTATCTCTAAGGTATAACTGAAATGTGTAGTCTTTGAAGCCATACAGATTTGAGTTGAAATCCTGGCTTCCACTATAATTGTGGGCATGGCCTTGTAAAAGTTACTTTACCTCTCTTATCTGGGTTCCTTCATGTACAGAACATAAATAAAAATAAAAATATTGCCTTGAAATGTAGTTCTTAGGTGGATTAATACAGACACAGCAACTAGCACAGTACCCATGCACATATGTACATCAAAAATGATTATAGTTACTATTCCCATTCTAACAGTCTTTTAATTTTTCCCATTTAAAATGTCTAATTTAATTCTATAAAATGCATCTTCATCTCCAGTATCATCACCCAAGTTTATCAATTTTTTTTCTCTTATGTCTAGGACGTTATAATAATTAACTGGTCATTCTACTGCCTCTTTTTTCTCTCTCTTTTCTCATTTATCCCATGATTCAGCATTTAAAGCAGTGGCTTCTCATAATGAAGGTATTCCTGCAGACGGTGAAGAAGAGGCAAAATATACAGGTAGGATGCTAAGCACGGAATCTAAATTCTTTTGTTTGGCATTCAAGGCCCTCTTCAGTCCACAGAGTAGTTGGGGGTCATTCACTCGTTTTCTCAACACAGCATGACTCTTCCCACTTATATGGCAAGCTACTTTAACTAGAATCTTGAACTATCTTTTATCACTTTAAAGTCTAGAAATGTCTTTTTTCGTAGTTGCTCTGTAAATGCTTGTTCAATGAAGATAGCAAAACCTTGCCAATCCTTCAGAGACAGTTAGAACCTTAGCTTGTAGGATAAGCTCTCCTTGATTTCTTTAGTTTGCTTGATAAGAAACCAGAGCACCTATTTTACACCATGCACTTAACATAATTATCTCATTTATCCTCATAAAACCCTACGAAGTAGTTTTTTCTAATCTTACTTTTAAAAGAAGATAGTAAAACTCCAAGTATGATAAAATTTGTACAAAATGCTACAACTAGTGGCTGGTGGGATCAGCATTAGAATAATGGTGGGCCCACTGACTCCAGAATCATGTTATTTCTACCCCTCAGTGTGACCTCAGTTATATACTACCATGAGTGGAAGAATAAAGACGACACTTTCTAAGTGATCTTGGGCAAGTCACTTTGCTCCTTGTAGTTGCAATTTATCATTCTAAAAAATGTGGCTTCTTCTCCGGGAGATACGTATACAAAGGTTCATTGGTATTATTTGTACCTTACATTTCTGTTTTCGGTATTCTTTAACATGCACTATAGATTTAACAAAATTAATTCATAAAAAGTAAAAAATATCACTTCCTGAAGTAAATGAGGATATGAATAGCCTTTCACATACCTCTGAGCCATAGAACTGAGATTTTGGAGATACTCTAGACATCACCTAATCCAGCCCTTTCATTTTAGAGATGAAAAATTTGTGACCCAGAACTGAAGCAGGCCACTGACCAAAGCAGGAGGGTAGGGGGGAGGTTTGTGGCTGCGCTGCAGCTCAGTTCTTCTCATTTCCACTTGAATGATTTTCCCTCCTCGTGCTGAGGTGGGAATAATCGATTCCCTGCCAGGCAAATCCAGAGAGTGACCCGGGTCAGGGGGGTGGACTGTCTGCCTGACACTCTCTGGAGCTGTGGCACAAAAGCCTTCTCAGAGCCCGCTTCACCTCTTTGTTGCGCAGAGTGTAAATGAAAGGGTTGAGCATCGGAGTGACTACTGTGTAGAAGACAGCCGGGGCGCCAGCTCCCGCCCCACCGGAGCGCGGTTGCAGGTAGATGCAGACAGGCGGCATGTAGTACAGGAGCACCACGGTGAGGTGGGCAGTGCACGTGGAGAAGGCCCGCCGCCGGCCCTCGGCCGTGCGGATGCGCAACACGGCCGCCACGATGAAGACGTAGGATACGATGATGAGGCTCAGGCAGCCCGCAGCCACGATGCCAATGTTGGCAAGCATGACGAGCTCATTAATGGTGGTGTCTGCACAAGCCAGCTTCAGCACAGGGGGGATGTCACAGAAGAAGTAGGCGATGTGGTGAGGCCCACAATAGAGCAGGTGGAAGGTGAGGGAGGTATGGAGTGCAGAGTGCACGGCGCCTGTGGCCCAGGTGATTCCAGCCAGCCCTGCACACATCCGCCTGTTCATGGCCACTGGGTAGCGCAGGGGTTGACAGATAGCCAGGTAGCGGTCATAAGCCATGACTGTGTACAGGAAGCACTCAGTGCTGGCCAGGAAGTGGAAGCAGTAAAGCTGCATAGCGCAGCCCTCAAAGGAGATCACCTTCCCATCCAGTGTCAGCAGGCCTGCCATGACCTTGGGCACTGTCACTGTGGACAAACATGCATCCAGGAAGGAGAGGTGCCCCAGGAAGTGGTACATGGGAGAGCGGAGGTGAGGGTCAGAGCCCACAGTTATGAGAATGAGGAGATTCCCAGTCACGGTGATGGTATAGATCAGGAGGAAGAGGAGAAAGAAGAGGCTAGGATGTTCAGCTGTGTACATTAGCCCCTCTAGGAAGAAGTGGCTCACCATCGTCTCGTTGGGGTATTCCGTCTCCATGGGCATCTTATCACACACAGAGTGGCTAGACACCCCTTGCTACAAAACTTACATTAACAGACAGAGTAAATAGCTGTTTCCCTTTCCCGAATATCATTATCCATTGGACCAGGCCATCTTGGTCTTGGCCTTGTAAGCAAGAAAACAATGTATAGGTTCAATTCACAGTTCTATACTGTTCTAGTGTTTTCTTGCTGCTTGTAATGAATCTTTCAATATGAGATCTGCAGTCTTTGACACACATAAAGGACTGTAAGAATTATTTGCAGAAATGCACTCCACAAATAATGGCAATGTAAATATGGATTATAAATTCTGCTCTCGATGAATATATATATTTTCGCATATATTCCAGAATTGTGAAGGCTCTTCCCTCCTAATTTACTCTGCATGCTGCAGATGTGGATAGGCAGGTTCTTTATGCTGTGTGTCATCAGACAGTTGCATCCCATCCTGGGGTAAGTCTTGCCTGGAATTTGGGTGTTGTTACATCAGCCAGAAACACAGCAGCCCCACCCATCCCTCTCCAGAGGGAATTCTTTGAAATTTCAGTTACCCACAACTCTCGAGTGTACAACAGTGAAGCCTTGGAGAGTAGACTAATTACCAGGACAATTTGTTCAGTACATTTCGCGTTCTTCCTGTAAACTTTGTTTCAAACTTTTGGGAATCCTTTGCCTATTCCTTTTTTTGTTGTTGAGCCTTTCCACTGGGCCATAATAGAAATTCAAGACTTGTCCTTGAATTTTTCCATCTTTTATCTTCTAAACCTAATTAGATGTTGCATTATGTGAAAATTTTCTTTAAACTGCTTCCCCCTCCCCCGCATTGTCTCTTCAATTTCCATGGATTTTACCTGACCCTGCCTTTGCATATTTTATGCCTAGATTTTCACAATGGCATTTTGTGCCCTGTTACTTCCTCCCTAATAAATCAAATGATCCTGTATTCAATTTCTTTGTCACTCTTCTTAAAATAACAGTTTTAATAGCTCTTTTTTACTGTTGCCCACTGCCAAAGACATAAAGTGTATCTTTGTCTGATAATCAAAATTATCTGTAAACTCTTTCCATTATCATAAAAAATCTTTATCTCCTGCAATTTCCTAAAGAAACTCCTCTTATCCAGAAATGTTGCTCACCTCATCTTCTCAGTTTTCCATGATCACTTCCTGACCTCCTCACAGCATTCCATTTTAAATATGAATGGAACACCTTTAATCTCTACCTCCTCAAATCTATTCTTTATGGTTGAATTTGAACTTTAATTCTTCTAGGAGCCCTTTATAAATATTTTCTCTCATATTGCTTTATTAATTCCTGAAACCTAATGGCATTTATGATAATTATTAAAAAATACCTGAGCATGTAGTACCTTGCAGTGTTTTAATGATCTATGTACATATGTCGTATCTCCCTAAGATGAGCAACAGGGAAAAATCTTATACCTTTTCTAACATCCTGGGGGATAGAACAGTAGAAATAGCAAGGAGTCAAGTATATTTGGAGTTCAAACTTAAGTTTAAACCCATGTTCAGCCACTTGTTTGTTGAAAGATATAAATCGTGGTACTTGATTTCTCTGTTCCTTCACTTCTTAAATTTAAAATGGGGTTGTTATCATTGGTGCTCCCTTTAATGTAGCTACTATTATTTTCCTTAGGATGGAGCAGAGCATACATTTTAGGACCTGAAACTTCTTTATATCCAATAATTTGTGCAAAGACATCTCCTATGATGTTTCTGACAAAAAGTTATGGAACTTCTGCTTGAAGAAGTTCATTAAAGAAGTAATCCCTATTTCACAAAAGAGTCCATTCCAATGTTGGGCAGATAAATATATTGTAATGTTATTTAAGTCAGTTGTATATATGTATTCCTGATATTTCAACCAACTATGTTTAGATTTGCCCTTTCATACCCTTCTAGAGTGGGTATGATAAAAAAAAAAAAAAAGATGAAGAGTAACAAGCATTATTGGATGTGGAGAAACTGAAACCCCCATACATGGTAGGTAATATGGACACCTACTTTGGAAAATGGTTTTACAGTTTCTTAAAAAGTTAAAGATGAATTTACCATATGACCTACCATTTCCACTTCTAGGAATCTATATAAAAGAAATGAAAACTTATGTCCATGCAAACACTTGCATGTGAATGTTAATAGCAGAGTAATGCACAGTGGTCAAAGACATGTGCAACCAGTTTGTTGATCATCAGCTGGTAGATGGATAAAAAAATGATTATATCAATTCAATGTGATGTCATTTAGCAATAAGAGGGAACAAAATATTAATATAGTTTATAAAAGGAATGGACGTCAAGAATATTATGCTAAGTGAAAGAAGACAGGCACAAAAGAACACATATTGTATGATTCCATTTTTATGAAATGTCCTGAAAAGACAAATCTATAAAGAGAGAAATTAGATTGCTGGATGCCTGGGGCTGAAGATGAGAACAAGAAATGACTGCAAATGGGGATAAGAGATCTTTCTGAAGTGATCAAAATGTTCTAAAATTATATTGTGGGAATCGAAAATTTTGTAAATTTACTAATAATCATCAAATTGTACACTTTAAAAGATGAATTCATAACATGCAAAATATACCTCAATAAGCTGTTAAAAAAGAAAGAAGGAAATCTAAAGAAGGAAAGTTGGCCAAGTGACACAAAACATGATTTCCATAAATGGAAAGATATTCCTTGCTCAATATTTAATAATATTTAAATTTCTTCTAATTAAGCAAAACTCTCTATTTTAAAATGTTAAACTTACAGAAAAGTTAAAAAAAAAATAAAGCACAGAGTTCATGTATACCTAAATCTATTAACATGACATATGATATTAATGGATTATCCAGTATTAAACCAATCTTGTATTCCTGCAATATAGTCTACTTGGTTATGGTGTATCATTTTACTTAATGTGGTAATGTATTCTGTTTGCAAGTATTTTATTTTATTTTATTTCAGAATATCATGGGACTACAAATGTTTTGGTCACATGTCTTGCTTTTGTACAGTTTGAGTCAATGTTATACGTGTGCCAATCACCCAGATATTGTGCATTTTATCTGTTAGGTGTGAATTTACCCAAACTGCCCCCCATCTGCTTGAATTACGCTGAGTTTTACTTCTATATGTATACATAAGTGTTCGTCAATTAATTCCAGTTTACTGATGAGTACATGTGGCATTTGTTTTTCCATTCTTTTGATACTTCACTTAGAATAATAGTCTCCAGTTCTATCCAGGTTGTTACAAAGGTATTAGTTCAACATTTTTTATGGCTGAGTAGTACTCCATATTATGCTTACATCACACTTTATTAATCCACTCATGTATTGATGGGCAGTTCGGTTGATTCCATATCTTTGCCACTGTGAATTGTGCCATAATCAACCTTCTAGTGCAGGTGTCTTTTTTATAAAATGACTTTTTTTCCTCTGGATGAATGCCCAATAGTGGGACTGCTGGATCAAATGGTAGGTCTATTTTTAGATTTTTGAGTTGTCTCCATACTGCTTTCTGTAGAGGTTGTACTAGTTTGCAGTCCTACCAACAGTATATAAGTGTTCCTTTCTCTCTGCATCCACACCAGCATCTGTTGTTTTGGGACTTTTTGATAAAAGCCATTCTCGCTGAAGTTAGGTCATATCGCATCGTGGTTTTGATTTTCATTTTCCTAATGATGAGGGACATTGAGCATTGTTTTATGTGTTCATTGGCTATTAGTCTATCTTCTTTTGAAAGCTTTTGTTCATGTCTTTTGCCCAATTTTTAATGGGGTTGTTTGGTTTTTGCTGGCTGTTTTGCTTTATAAAATTTCTTTATAAATTCTCATTATTAGCCCTTTATTGGATGGATAGCATGCAAATATTTTTTCCCATTCTGTGGGTTGTCTGTTCACTCTATTGATTGCTTCCTTGGCTGTGCACAAGCTTTTTGATTTGATCAGGTTACATTTATTTATTTTTATTGCTGCCGTGATTGCTTTTGGGATCTTCTTCATAAATTCTTTGCCAAAACCTATATCCAGAAGAGTTTTTCCAACATTTTCTTCTAGAATTATTATAGTTTCATACCTTAGGTTTAACTCTGTTATCCATCCTGAATTAATTTTCATGAGTGGTGAGAAGTACTGATCCTATTTCAGTCTTCTATATGTGGCTATCCAATTTTCCCAGCACCATTTATTGAATAGGGATTCTTTTTTCCAGTATATGTTTTTATCTACTTTGTCAAAGATCAGATGGCAATGTGAGGATTGTTTTATACCTTGGTTCTCTGTTCTGATCCGTTGGTCTATGTCTCTTTTCTTGTACCATTACCATGCTGTTTTGGTGACTATTGTCTTGTAGTATAGCTTGAAGTCTGGTAAATTGATGCCTCCTGATTTGTTCTTTTTGCTTAAGGTTGCTTTGGCTATGAGAGGTCTTTTCTGGTTCTATACAAAGCATAGAATTATTTTTTCTAGATCTGCAAAAAATAGCGTTGGTATTTTAATGGGGATTGCATTGAATGTAGAAATCACTTTAGGTAGTATATACATTTTAATAATGTTGATTCTGCCGATCCATGAGCATGTTTTCCGATTTGTTTATACCCTCTGCGATTTCCTTCCTCAGTGTTTCATAGTTCTCCCTGTAGAGAACTTTGCTTCCTTGGGTAAATATATTCCTGGCTTTTTATTTTCTTTGTTGCTGTTGTAAAAGGTATTGAGTCTTTGATTTGATTCTCAGTTTGACTGTTGTTCGCATATAAGAATGCTACTGATTTGTGCACATTGATTTTGTAACCCAAGGTTACAAAATATAGGTCCAATTGGCTAACACTTATCTCTTTATAGTAAATAAGAGAAAAGTCCAAAGGTAGAATTCTAGTATTTAGGTTATAGGGCAAGCAATATTTAAATTTAATCTCAACAAAATCTTCTTTTTACTTGTTTAATCAGATAATCAAAGCTCTTTGTTTAATTTCAATTTCTTTATCATTGTGTCTCATAGCACTATATCTGAATGAGCCAAATATCCACAAGTTCAGTGAGAAAGTTTTTTCTTTACGAAGAATAGTTATTGTTCCTTTTAAATAATGACTAAGCAAAAAGATAATTA